GGTGGGATTTATTATTGCCCCCCACCCCACACTCTTGGGCAAAAGCAGCCTGGTGCAATGGCCTCCTCCTGTGCCCACCCCGTGGCAGCCTTGCCAGGCCCCCATGAGAAGAGCCCTGCGCCGCCCTTCGACACCTTCGAGTATTTCCAGGACAAGGAGGATGACCTGGACAAGCCCTACAATGACCGCTCGTACCTCAGCTCCGAGGGGCTGGCCCGCGATGACGCCCGCACAGGTGAGCCTCCTGTCAGGGTGGGCAGCAGTGATGTGGGACACCTCCCCACACTCCCCACCATCATTGGCATCCCCTCCCCAGAGTTTGTGGCATTGCTGACGAGTGGCCCGGAGCCATGGCACCCCAGGTCCAGCGCGGTGGCCAAGGCTCGCTTCACCCTCCTGCGGTCCTACCTGCTCTTCTCCATCAGCTACGAGCGGTGAGTCCTGCCCCTGTCCTCTGCCCAGGTTGGCACAGCAGGCACCTCCCTGGAAAAGAAGGGGGATGCAATAGTGCTGGTGCCTCAGTTTCCCTTCCGACATCCCCCCACTCAGTGTCAGAGCCTTGCATTAGCCGGGTGAGAGATTTGGGGAGGGGGGTGATGTGTTGAGGGTCCTGCTCGGCTGAGCAGCCGGGATTTTGGCACACCCTTGTCTCCAGGTTTGGAGCGGGAACAAACAGGAACAGCTCCAGGGCTGAGCAGAGGACGTGGGGCAGTGCAGAGGTGCCATGCAGCTCTGCGGGCTCTGCTGACAGGCACCACCAGGGTCCCCCATTCCTGGATGCTCTCCGGTGGCAGAGCCTCTCCTCTCCTTCCCTCCCTCCTTCCTGCTCCAGTTTCTTCTGCTCTTCCTTGCTTCCAGGCCCCTTTGCATAGTAAAGTGGTGACTAATTTCCAGCTCTGACCAGGGGGGAGCCAAACAGAGCCGAAAATGCTCTTTAATTTGCAGCTGGGCCTGAGTGCTCAGCTTTGCTGCCTTCACTGACGGGGACTCTCTCCTGCTCAGTGCCAGCTTGCCACTGCTCTGGGCAGGGGGGCCCAGGACATCGGTGCTGGCACCCAGCAGGACAGCAGCCTGGGTGTGGGTGGGCAGAGCAGGGTACTTGACACCCCAAGGGAGGCCCCGACTCTCTTGGTGACACCGGTGTGCCCTCCCTGACACACCCCAGTGCCTGGTGCTGAGCTAGGGTGGTGCCAGGGGAGGGGGGACCTGGATGGGAAGGTCCTTGCTCACCCCCTGGGTGCCTGCAGGCTGGGTCGGCCAAGCCGGGTGCGTTTCAGTGACCCTGAGGGCAACGTGCTGTTCGAACACCCCGTGCAGAAGAGCGCTGCCCCTGAGGACGGCATGGTGAGAGGGAACAGGAGGGCAGGGAGGCTCAGCACCACATCATCCCCCTGCCCGGGGGG